TCTCCTGGTTAAGTGTGCCCCTGAAAACTCCACCCATAGATGTGTGAATAGTGATAATGAGGTGCCTTCCTCCTGGGCCACCATTATCATAGCCTTACTGTTTGCAGTGAATTCGAGACTTGGAAAAACATTAGTTTTATTATTAATAGTAGTAGTATCATTATTATTTTCCTTCTTCAAGACATGGTTTCTCTGCATAGACCCAGTTGACCTAGTACTCATTCTGTAGACCAGGTTGGCCTTGAACTAACAGAGATCCTCCTGCCTCTCCCTCCCGAATGCTGGGATCAAAGGTGTGTGCCACGATGGCCCAGAGGAAAAACATGAAGTTTGAGGATTGAGATTTGGTTTTGGTGTTTTGATTGTTCAAGGCATAAAGATTCTTTGTCTATGTATTCTTGTTATTTTATCACTACCGACAACTATGTCATTTACTATTTCTTCAGCTGCAAATTCAAATAAACACAGCAAGCTATATTTTAAGATTACAATCAAGTTGGGTTCATCTATACAATTTTTAGAATACTAAACAAAGTCCTGATTTCCAATAATAAGCAGAAACTCCCAGGTATTGCTGAGTGCCGGGCCTTCTAGGAGTTGCAATGTGTCTCTTGGCATCTTCTGATGCTCATTACCTACCATCAGATGCAGGAAAACGCAACCTGAGCCCAAGAACCATTGTGTGTGGCCAGAGACCAAACACAGCAGAAAACTAAGCAAAGCAAATTCATCAGTCCAGAGTGAAACCTTCCTGGTTGCATTTTGTTGTATCTTTCTAAAGTTTGTCATTATAGATAAAAGAAGGTGGCGTGTATAGGAGCGTGGATGGCATATTAATGTGTTCTACAAGGCTGTTGAAAAGAATTTCTCAGAACACTGTCCAATCTAGAGCACTATAGATGAGCAAATACCTTGATAAGTCAGGGTAGAAAGACAGGGCAAATTATGGGGACCCAGAGAGAAAAAAAAGAGCCTCTCGCCCCCATGTCTAGTTTAAAGATTTTCATTAACCAAGAAGCAAGAACTATGGCACCATTTGTTATGAAGGTTGCCAAGCTAGAATCAATAGGGATACTGTATATTGAAATAGCAGTAAACCAGGCTTAAGGCAGAAATGGATAAAATCTTGAGTAGGGTCTCATTCCTTATTCCAGACACTGAGACCTTTGTTTACTGGTAAAACGTCTACTTTCCTGAATCCCTGAGATCTAGATGGTTCCCTTATCAATTATAAACATGTCAAGTGCCCCTTGGAACCATCCTAAGTTTTCATTTAGGTTCCTTAGCAATAATTTGAAGATAATTGCTTCAAATGCTTCCAACACCCTAATATGACTATTGTAACACTAAAATGAAGTATGACTATCTTACAGAAGATCATACTATGCTCTTGAGTATGCCTTCACTGGCTTCCTGAGTGCCTCCTCGTGTGCAAGCCCATCTTAAATATCATTAAAATGAACACCAACTCTGTTTCATTCTGGCTAGTCCTCAGATACTCTGCTTTGTCAAAACCACAAATCCTGGTTTGGCCTGAATTGAGGTCCCTAAAAGATGAAAGGAACTCTTCAGGCTGCTGCAGACGATAGAGTGGAGCTTTGCCTCCTTCCCTGTCTCCCTTTGATGATCAGAAGCAAGAATAGCTTCCAGAGAAGTGTAGATCCTCCCACTTCTGTATTCCTAGAGCCCATCAGCCACCCACACAACACAACTGGACAGAACCTGCCCATGCCTGCCCTGCTAATCTGAACTCAAGACCCTATTTGCAAAAGAGATTTCAGAGTGCAGGCCTGTGGGTGCTTGTCAACTGCAGGCATTTGAAGGCCAAGGGGACAGTCTCTTTCCCTCTGGAATCTGCATCTTAATACATCCTCGCTTGTCATAAAAAAGAGCCTTGTTAGCAGATAGTGTGGTTTCTCTAGTCAGTCATGTCCCAGAATTATTTTGTTCAGGAGTCAAATGTTAACGGACTGATCTTTTTGTTTTAATAAACAAGCACAGAAGTGAAGGTTGTGAGGTCTTGTGAGGTCCAGAGCATCCCAGAGTCTGAAAACAATTGCTTAATTGAAGTGGTTTTTCTTTCTGAAGAATGCCTTTAGGTGATGATGCTGTTAAGGCTGTAATCTTACTTCATGGCTGAATCCTCTGGTTTACAATCAGCATGGGTTTTTTTGTGGGGTTTTTTGTTGTTGTTTTGGTTTGGTTTGACAGTGTGATTTGCTTTCCTACAGGATCTAAACAAATTTGGTTATTTGCTTAGAGACAGAGAGAAAAAAAGAAGAGCTCTGTCCATGAGCTCCGTGGGTTTTTTTTTAGCCTGACAACATGCTGGTGGCTTGCAGTCTCCTCTAGTGAATGTTCTAAGTGTGCATTGCTGAATGAATACATGATTGTGTCTAAACGTTATAATATATCCCCTCCTTCAAAGGAGCACAGAAATTTCATTAATGGCATGTGAGTCAAAGAACAGCAAAGGGCCACAGTGATGCATGCATTCAGCATCAGGTTAAAATCTCAAGGGGGCACCAATTAGCAAGTTAAATGCAGTTTCTATTTCAAGCTAGATTACAAAGCAATGGGATAATGCCACAGGCCTTTAAAGGGAACGCATTTTAATTGATCAACCTGTAGTCCTTGAATCCAAATGAGCCCTCTTCTCATTCCCAAGGGGGAAACCCTAATTCTAGGTCAGCTTAAGAATGTAGAAGAGTATATTTCACAGGATGACACATTCAAATTAGTAGTGTTCTTTCCACAGGCTTAATCATAATGGGAGGCTTTTTGTAAATCCTCTAACTGCTCCTGTAAAAAACCAAGGGATTCATTTGGGTAATTGTCACCCACCCCCACCACACCCCCATGCCCTGGGCTTTGCTGCTAAAATAATACTGTCAAGTATTCAGGAAGTAACCTTGGAAACAAAGATAATTACCTTGCAGTCTTCACTCAAAATGTAAAGATTATACAAAATGAGTGGTGGGAACGACTCTGTGCAGACACTTAGGTTTTTGCCAGTTGCTGTTCCACAAAGCGAGAATTTCCAAGTGTCCCTTGCAGTCCTGGGTCCAGTCTCAAGCTCCATAGGGAGGAAAGGGGCAAGTGGGAGGGTGTGTGAAGCAAGGTGTTCATGTGGATGAAATTGATTCCTGGGCACCAGGATGTGGGTAAAGTGAATGCTATATTCAGATTCAAATGGAAATCACACCACTGTCAATGTGTACTAAAAACTGGGCATTGTGCCTCATGCATTACTGCACACAGTGCTGTTTTCAGTTTTCATCTTCTCCTACAAAATCTTCAACTATTTGAACCTTGTTTATCTTTTGTAGAAAAGGCTTATGTGTTTTTCTTATAAAGACTTAACATGAATAAACCTAATTCAACATGACATATGGGACTTCTCTTTTGAGATGAGATCTCAGTATGTTGTCCAGGGTAGTACTCAACTACTGGGCTCCAGCAATCCTCCTGCTCAGTCTCCTAAGTGTCTGAGACTGCAGGCACAAGCCACCCTATCAGGTTGGTGTATAGGTGGGAGTCATGTTTGTTTGTTTTGCTGGGGACCAAACCCAAAAGGAGACAAATGTTCTATCACTGGGACGCATACACATCTCAAGACGAATATTTAAAGTACTTGGGGTGAAATATGTGAATTTTGAAAACAAAAACTTCACTGAAAGCAAAGAATCTTCTTTTCCTACATTATAGTATATTCACTGTCCAATGACTAATTTAATATGGAACTTTCCATATCATAAAGATAGCGAATTTGAGCCTTAACAAAATAACATACATATTAAATTTAAAGCTCTCCTAAATCCATTGAACTTGTCTCATAGCTTTACTTTGTATTGTGCTGCAAATGTGCCTTGAGAGACTTATTAAAATGTGAAGATAGTCTTTATAACATCAAACTAGACCTTAATTTTGAACCAGAACATAGTAATCTATATTTAAACAAAGTGAGCACTGAGGTAAATGTTATAGCCCTATCCAACCATACAGAAAAGGAGTGAGACAGCCTGAGAATCACAGTCCCATATTATTTAGAGCCTGTTGTGCTCACAGAAGATAGGTTAGCACAGTTGATGTTCCCCCACTCCCCAATGTGTGTATCCTAGATGTAGATGAGCAAACTAGACCACAGTCTGGCAAAACACCAGTAGGCGGGAGTTAACTAGATAATAGGCAACCTTTCAGAAAGCAAATTCTGTGGAATGGAAATGCAGGACAGTCTTTTCTACTTGTAGTGTTCAAAAGCACATTGGACTTTTGACAATGACTTCCTGTGGAGTCACTATTAAAAACTATTTAGCTCCAGAAATAATGCTAGGTCTGTTCCTACCAGGTAGGGTGACATGCTTGAGTTTCACATATTCTGGTGTTTGATAATCTGGACCCTCACTCACTGTGAAATTACTTACATGCTTCTTCTTAAATTATAATAGTATTAAGCATTAATTAAATTTATTCTCTCTCTCTTCTCTTCTCTCTTCTCTCTCGGTAGGGCCTTGATATGTAGCACAGGATGACTTTGATCTAGTGATCATGCTGGCCTCAGCCTGCAAGTTATTGGTACTATAGGCCCGTGTGTGAATGAGCCTCCATCTTGGCAAGATATATATTTTGCCTCCTTTACACAGCTATCATCTGATCAAGCCCTCTCTTCTGATCTCATCACTCAGCTTTACTTTACTGGGTATTAAAATGAACTCTGCTCCTCTGGACTATGAGATTTCTGAGCCTCCACGGAACTAAAATTCACTCACCATCCATGTCATCCTTGGATGGGAAGTAACAGCAATACAAAATTACTCATGCAATATTTAAGCTCATATGCCATGATCAGCCAGCCATAGTGTTTCCCATGGTACCTAATAATTCAGAAGTCTCCACTTAGGCAGTGTGGAATTTGACTGCCTCATATATCATATTTCTCTCTACTTTAGGAAACACGTAGCTATCTGAAGGTATGAAAATTAATTTAGTCTAGATTCATATTTTACATTTACTCAAATATTTATTTGAACTCATAAAAACTTAATTGAGGTAATTTAAAAGGTGAAGAACTAAAAGACCTCTCAAATATTGACCAAAAGCCTGTGGGAAGTAACTTAAAGAACTTAACATCAAAATCACTGCAGGCACATTGCTATACCCCCTCCATACAATCACATATCTCCTTAAAACCACACTCTCCAGCTGGTGAACTCATGGGTTGATTTGCTCTGCAAGGTGCTGAAAATGTAGCTAAAGTGAGAAATGTAACCAACTAGAAAGAAGAAATATAAATGTACAAACAGGATATTTTTTTGCTAGAGCCTTGGACATTCATGAGGTTCATAATTGTCATACAAATATATAAAAATTTTTTCAAGGAATATGTTTATTTTAATTCATTTTTTCTCCTTTAATTCTTCACATCAACCCTGCAAAAGAAAAAGCAAGCATATCATTAGGTTCTTTTGCTCCTTAATTTTATTAAGATATGACTAACAAACAGAAACTGTATATGTACAATTTGATGTGATGTTTTAATAAATGCATACACCATGAAGTGATTAAATCAAGTTAATTAGCATCTGTAGCAACTCAGGTATTTTTTTCATGGTTAGAACACTGACAATCTACTCTCAACAGTTTTCAAATATGTACTACATTATTAATAGTAGTCACCATACTGGACAACATTCCGACCGTGTAACAGACATTGTGGGCCTTCTCAGCATTTTTACATTCCTTCAGGCCCCAGAAACAATTTTACTTCCTTCTGCAAGCTTGATATTTATATTTCACATACAAGTGAGGTCATACAGTATCCTCCTTTCTCTATCTAGCTTAGTTCACTTAATGCAATGTCTTCTAAGTTCATTGTTTGGTTTTAGTTTTCATGAGATATTTTTAGGAACTGCTTATATATCAATATCGTTAGCACAAGTCAAATGAGATATAATACCACATTTTTACTTACAAATGCATCTCTCAATTCTAAGTACGTAATGTGAATTGTGAACAAAAGTTATAGTATAACCATCAACTATGGTTTCAGTGATTTAAGTAATTGCGGACTAAATTAGGATGGTGTTCCTCTGAAGAACTAGAATGTATGATGAATTTAAAACTATGGACTTGATAAAGCCTAGTCTGGTACAAATTTGCATTGATGACTCTAATTCATCCCTTTCTCTATCCATTTCCACTGCCATGTAACTATAGTTTCCTACCATTGTGGGTAGGGTATAAATTCTAATGCCTGTTTGGACATGTGATTTTCTTTGACCAAGGAAATGGAACAGAAGTTTCTTTAAAAGCATCACATGCTTTTGCTTGCTTAGTTGATCTTCCACTATTGATATAACATGAGTATGGTCACACAAGCCTTCTGACCCGCAAGAATGTGAAACCTGTAGCAACGCGCTAAAAGACCTGAAGATTCATAAGTGAGTACAGCCAAGATAAGCTAAACATGAAACACATGCGCCACAATGAAAACATCTTTTGTTTTCACCATTGTATTCGGGAGCTATTCGTTATGCAGCAATATCTAATAACTTGGTGCCATTTCTCTCCAAAGCTCTTCCCCAGCAAGTCTCAAACATTACTGACACATTTGTTTTCCATTAGTATTTTACTTATGTGAAACAACGACTGGATTTAAAATAAAATCTGCAGGCAAAGGTGATGTGTCTGCTGGGGCAAAAACTAAGGCTTGGTTTCATCCATGGCCCTTGATTTCTTCTCTACTTCAAAAGTTGGCAAGCCGTACTATATTTCTCCATCTCTCTTGTAGCTAGTGGGAGTCGAGGAACCCATATATGACCTGTGAGCCCTGAGGACCTGAGGAGAAGCGTACAGCCTTTTCCCAGTATGCACAATTTTTCCCAGTATTCACAATTCATCCATGGCCCTTGATTTCTTCTCTACTTCAAAAGTTGGCAAGCCGTACTATATTTCTCCATCTTTCTTGTAGCTAGTGGGAGTCGAGGAACCCATATATGACCTGTGAGCCCTGAGGACCTGAGGAGAAGCGTACAGCTTTTTCCCAGTATGCATCTATAGAGTTCACAGAGCCCTACATGGCTCTGAACATTTGTAGCATGTCCGTGATGTTGGCTGCACTGTTCACCTTGCTGAGAGCTTCCAAGAGCAAAGTGACTTGTTCAAAGTCTCACATCTTCTAAATGAAAAAAAAAATGGATTTTAGCTTAGGTTAACTGAGGCTCTTTCCAATCTGTCAACAAGGATGATTTGGATGGCTCTTAGAACTGGAGGGAAAAGCAGAGTACCTTAATGGTTGTAAAATGAAATGGCCTCATGAATTTGTGTAGAGTTTGATTTTTCTATTATAGTAAGAACACAACACGAGATCTATTCTCAACAAACATTTAAGTGTAAAATATGTTATAGTTGGCCAGGCAATGGTGGCTTACATCTTTAATCCCAGCACTAGGGAGGCAGAGGCACGTGGATCTCTGTGAGTTCGAGGCCAGCCTGGTCTACAGAGGAGTTCCAGGACAACCTGCAAAACAATACAGAGAGACCCTGTCTTGAAAAATCTATATATATGTATGTATGTTATTGTTATATGTATGTATGTATGTTATATGTATGTGTGTTATATGTTATTGTTGGCTTAGGTAAAATGTATAGTAGATCCCTACAGCTAATTCATTTTGTTTAACTGAAATTTTATGTCCATTACTATGTAATCCCTTGTTTCTTCATCCCATCAGCCCCTAGCAAGAATTAAGGGATTTTTTTCCAGGAATTTTCAAAAGTCATCAAGAGGAAGTAAGATGCCACTTTTGTCCCTGTCCTGGGTTTCTAGATGAGAAGTAGATCACTGATTTGGTAGTCTCACAGCCTCACGCTGGGCACCACGTCAGTCCTGTGTGTAGCCATTCTCTCTCTTACTTCTGCCTTCTGAGTTCTCTGAAGTAAATACACACTGCTTCTGCAACATGGGAAGGCCATCAGACTTCTTGCCCTTTACTTCCAAATTTAGACTAAAAGCTCACCTTTCCATGATTCTCTCCATATGACCCATGAATGGTGTAAGTCTACTGATGTGCACCATCCTCTTCCCTTACATTTCTCACTAGAAATCTCCTGCCATGGGCTACAACTTTCTGAAGGGTATGCATATGCCTTATCCATTTCCATTTCTATCCTATTGCCTATCGAGTGCACCTGACATAGGAACCTCAGAACTGATGAATAGGACTGCTGGAAAAAATGAGAGCTGAGTTGGAGTTACAGATAACCTCACATTCTTCAATGTGAGGCAGCAGGAATGAGCAAGGGGTCAGAGATTCAATAAACCTAGACTGATGATTTGATGTGCTATGTCCCCGCTGTGCTGTCAATTCTTCTCTAGATCCCAGACAGAGTCCCATCATGACTAGAGGGTGTTATATTCAATTTATTGCAGTGAATGCTGTGCTGCGTGACATATGGCCAGCTTTTCTGGCTAAGTAAGAGGTCCATGACAAGCTGACCTTGAAGCTCAGACATTCCTTGGACTTCTCTGAACAGCATAAAAGGGGTGATGATCCATAGCAAATTGTCACTGAGGCATATTCTGTGAAATGTCCAGACAGTGAAGCACTGTCTGCAAACCAGAAACGGTACCATTTATATGACAGGCTCGATGTGGACTCTGATCACTAGGCATCTTCCCAACTGGATGAAATTGTGGCTTTCCTGAGAAATATTATTTCGGTGGCACTAGCCTTAAAGGAAAAAAGTTCCTTCCCCTCAGCCACTGTGCCTACAAGCCAAAGCAGTCTGCAAAACCCTGTGAGAAGACAAAGAGCCGATGGCTATGGTCCCAGTTTTAATTACCTATTATGGGCTAGGCACTCCACTTACTACCCTCTATCTACATATTGAGCCTGGTTCTTCCTGTAGGAGCCAGGCAGGAAGTAATAGATATGACAGCAGAAACACTCCCAATTGTCTTAAAGATCATCCTGTAGCCGACCCATCTCCCTTTCCCACAGAATTTGAGATGGCCCAGTAAGCCCAGGCACAGAACTCTGTTCATGGATAAGGTCAAACATAATGTTGAACTACGAAGTCTGAGAGGAGTAGAGTCTGCATCGCTGATCTTATGGGACTCACTATGTGCTGAGACTACCTAGCTGATACAAGAATACAAAAAGTCAAGAATCCACAGACCAGGGCTCTCGTCTCTGAGTCAGGGCTCTGATTTAGATATGGAATCAATGGGAAGCTATCCAGAGCTAAAATTGCCCATGTTGTAAAGCACACTTGTTTGTCAGGGTGTTGGAATGCAAGTGTGTTGGGCAATCACCAGGGCCACGATGCTTTGCCACTGAGAAAACAGTTGTCAGTGACTCTGCTATGTCCTAGCCTCATAAAGGGAAGGTGAAATACCCTGCTGAAAAGTCACTTGATAATTACCCAACACTTCTTTTCTCCACTGAAATTTAAAAGCCAGAAGCCCATTCTCCAATTTCCCTTTGGCCAAGGCACATTTTGGCTGCTGCAAGAAATATACCAAATTCTTCCCCTGTGTTGCTCTATGTCCAGGCTGAGGATCATGTGATGTTTATGCCTCACCATGACCCATTTATAGCTGTCTTACTCATAGTCACTGTGGTCCCACATACATCATATGGGAAATGGAGTCCACTCAACACTTGTCTGCATTTGTTCCTTTAACCACACACTCTGCGGGTGGTGCAGCAATTACTCCCTCCTATGTGGTGCCAAGTCATACAACCATAAACACAGTGACACTCAGGAATAGTGACACTCAGACACAGACAGTGCCTTGTACTCCAGTTTCATTTGCAACAGCCAAGCATACACTCAGAGCACACTGGTTCAAGCCTTAAAGTTCATTAGGGGTTAGCAGATTAAGGCAAGGTCCTGGCCAATTGTGGAGCCTTCTAGAGTTTGCAAGGCACATTCACACATATTGTCCTATGTAGTCATCATGATCACACCATGAGGTTGGCAGCACAAGCTACAACAGCATATAAGAAAAATATCACAGACCCACATAAAGAGAAGAAGGCATGTGCCAAGTCAATGTAGGCAACCCCAAGCCCAGGAATCTTTTCAAATCTGTAAGACTCATAAAGTCAGGTAAACAAAATTCTAAGGCAAATATTATTAAGTATTTTACTAAAGTATGTGACAAAACACTTCTGTAGCAAAGCAGAGCTCAGTGGTAAGTTGAGGGGACTGCTGTCCCAACAAAAACTTTTCCAAAGATGAAGAAACCCTTGTATCTTGTATATTTCTTAACATCCTAGGCCTAGAGACAAAGGTGTTTATATCAAAAATACCCAGAATGCTCTTACAGCTGTCAGGCAAAGGTCTGTGGCAATCATGGACTCTAGAACAACCCAAATGGATAGCCAATGTCTTGACATATAATTAATGGGATTTAAAAAAA